AGGCCGGTAAGGATGACTTCTATGGTTGCCTAAACAGCACATGGGAATAGAAACGACTCATCTACCTAAAAAGCAAGACCTTGCGATACAAGTCAGGAAGGGTAAATATTCTCCTGACTTAACACTAACACTAAAAATGACATAAAACTAAACTGTTAATTCAGCCCTATTCTATATCTAAGCCATACGTTTAACACAATTCTGGCCTTAACCCCAACCCTCACATTTATCTTAAAACAAATAACTGGGGAATTTCGCGCAAAGTCGCATGTATTAGGGGTGGTTCATAGTCCCGTGTCCTACAGGTAAGCCCTTACCTTCGACATACGCCTTTGCGGCCTATTTTCTGACGAAACAACTCCTTTTAGTAGAGATTTCTTATAGGGACCCTAAAGCGGAACCCTAGAAGAGGAAGGTGCGATCCAAGTAATAAAGGCAGCCTGGCACATTATTCCAAGAAGGTTGCATGTTTATCTGATTCTAATCCCAACAGTAGTGCTTACCTTTACCTAAACCATAACCATAATACTAACCCCAAACCTGCCTTAAATCCCAACCCTATGGTTAGCACTAACCCTAACCCTAGCTGTATTTCCATTGGTACCTGGCGTGAATAAATCCGTATTGTGGACAGTTCCTGTGGGGAGGGGGTTCCTGTTTCAGGCGGGAGGAGCTTATAGGTCAATCTTCACAGCCAGAATAGAAAGCCTTCTATCTCAAATGGCTTATACTTTCTCCAAGATGTGTTCAGTCTCTCCCCCGTGACACTAGTGAATGACTTTATCGAATAAATTTCAGACCGCACACAAGCTCACAAATTTCTAAGTTGATCAGCCTTTCTGGCACCAACGGTGCGTGATGCCGACACCAACCGCATCGTCAACAAGACCAGTTAACCACATTTCATGGACTGCAAAAGACCCTCCTGCAAGCAAAGTTAACGTGTGACGGCGCGCAGGTGAACTAAATCTCCATAACCAGAAACTGCAGGTGACACCCGTCTTAGGACTACATTAGTTGAGAGAGAGAAAGATATGTTGATTGATAGAATGAAAGAG